GCGAACTGCGCCACTGGGATCCCGATCGCGGTGGATGGTGGTAATATTTGGGGTTCCTCGGTGGCCGCAACATTACCACCAACACCAAAATCTGGGACCATCGTCCCCTGGTGGGCAAAACCCACTGTTTTGGTGTTGGTGCCCACTTGCAAGCCCTCCAAGATATGCAGCGGGGTGCCGCGCCGTCCCTGTGCCGCTCCGGCTCCTTCCGCCGTCCCCTCCCTCCCCCTCCACTCCCAGAGGCGCAAGTAGACCACGAGACCTGGGGCTCGGCCCCCGTGCTGGAGCGCTCTGCCCCTCCACGCTTGGCCACTGTTCCCCCGCGCCTCCCTGTGCCGGGCTCTCGCTTTGAGCAGAGCCGGGCTGCTCCTTCTCCCTCCACCTCCCGCCCTCTCCTCCTCCCTCCTCCAATTCGGCCTTGCCCGCTCTTTCTCCTCCCTTCCCTCCCTCTTTTCCTCCCCTCCTTTCAACAATTAGGCTTTGCCTACGGGCTCCCCCTTGTTTTGCGCAAGAGCGGTGTCCGCCAGGCCCATGGAATGAGACGGCCCTCGGCCTTCCGCCGCCTTTCCCGGTCTGGATCGCCGCCTTCCCTCCTGGTGGGCTCCCCCGGTCCTGCTCCCCTGGCTGCTCCCCTGTCTTGTTCCCTCGGAGTCGCTTCGGAACCCGTATAGTAAGGATGCGCGGTAAGGATGCAGGGGCCTTGGAAAGGTATTGTGACGCTTTTCGAGTGGGGCTCGCCTGCTAAAGTCGTCAGGGACGGGCCCAAGGGGCAAGGATGCAAGGGCTACCTTGGAAACCTCGCTCGTCCTTACTATGCGGGTTGACTGTGACGGGGGGACGATACGTGGGGGGGAGACAGGGGCACCTTGCGGGCCCCAGAGGCCCCCTCTTGGGCCCTCAAAGGGCCCCTTTTGGGGGGCCCTTTGAGCCCTCGCTGCCCCTCGCTGCCCCCGCCCGTTCATCGCCCCCACCCCCCCATTGCGCGACGCCGCGGCGCCGAAATTCCTTCTTCCCTCGGGTTCTCCGGTCCTGGTCTTCCTCGGTTCCCCCGTCTTGTTCTGCGCCTTCCTTCCTACGCCGTGCCGGGCAGTGCTAAGCAATGCAGTACCAGGCAATGCCAAGCAATGCCAAGCAATGCAAAGCAACGCCACTCAACGCCAAGCAATTGAAATCGATGCCAAGCAATGCAAAGCAACGCCAAGAAATGCCAATATTTGCGACTCAATGCCACGCAATGCCAAGCAATGTCAATCAATGCCAAGCAATGCCAACCCAAATCATTCAATGCCAAGCAATGACAAGCAAGGTCAAGCAACCCCAATCAACGCAAACTTATGCTAAGAAGTTCGGGTTTACTTGCTCAGGAAACTTTCCCTTAAACTGTATCGCGCCAAATTTATGTGTAATCTCCTTGCGTTGGGTGGTCGGTTTGAAGAGAAGGCTGCTATGCGTTCCCTCCCGTCCACCCCTCTTCTACTTATCCCGACTTCTCCCCGCATCCTTCCTCCAACCTGTCTCCTACCTCGCCTTCCTTGGAGCTGCCGAATGCGCAGCTCTCGCAACTTTCGTGAGCTCGTTCGGGGGTGCAACAGAAAACGTCTTATTAACACCCGAACGGGAACTCGCCTCCCTGGTTGGCGCCACTGGTTCAACCGTCGTCGCTTTCGTGCGCTCGTGGGCGGTCCAGCGGAGCGCGGTCTTGTTCGGGCCTGCGCTGGGCGTCGCCTCCCTGGGTGGTGCTGGCTGCGGCACTGTCGCCACTTTCGTGAGCCCGTGGGGGATCCAACGGAGTGCTGCCTCCCTGGGTGGCGAAAGTTGCGCAACTGTCGCCATTTTGGGGAGTTCGTGGGCCATCCAGCGAAGCGACAATCTATTCTCGCCCAAACGAGAATCCCGAAGTGGCTTTGTTTACTTCTGGCCAGCGCGTTGTCTTTGGACTCGCACGAGAGCGCTCCGAAGAGATTCCATGACGCATGCCTGAAGACTCTGACCCACAATCTGGGCACGCTGGCGGAATGGGCCGACGGCCATGATATGTGTGTGTATGGGTAAATGTGGATGGGTGCTGTTGTTGTGGGCGAGCTCTGGATGTACCCGTACGCTGGACGACCTGCTGGCCAGGGTGCTGACCGGGGTCAAGACGTTGGACGATCTGCTTGCGATCTGCGACCCGTGCGCAGAGTTCCCCTCCCGAGGCCCGTCCGTCGACCAGGCGGCGCGCCTGCAAACGTCCAGTGCCCGCAGAGGGACACACCCAGGAAAGAGGAGGACCTTCTGGCGGTCCAACGCGGCCCTGGGAGATTCCCGCACGACTGGTCGAACAACGAGCCACTCACGCGTTTGTCAGTGAGCTCGTGCGCTCCTCTGTGCGTCTGATCCCCACCCGTGGGCATGCGCACGGCAGCTGATTGTTGGTGCCCACTCTGAACGATGCAAGGTTGAGTTCAAGGAAATGTGTAGACATCTCATCCGAACGCCTGTGTTGCAAGGGCTTTATCATACAACACCTCGCCAACTGGCGCATGTCATTACTCATCGCCCTCACACCGTCTTCCAAATCTAATGATCTTTCTTCTGATGCCATCAACATGAGAGCTGTCGCTACTTTTCTATATGGCGCCTCGACGGTCGCTCACAGCTGCAGGAAAGCATCAGGCACGAGTCTGAAGAGGAATGTCTCAACCAATGCTGGCACTGAACATCCTCGCGAATATTCTCAAGATTTGGCGAAGGCATCGGACCGAGTTCGCTAGGCACCGAATCGGGAGCGGCAAAGAGGGGGGTGTCCAAGAGGGGGGGGTGCAAATCATGACCGGCGGCATGTGTGCGGCCCAGCGGGGGGGCCAGGGACGTAATGAAACAAGAAGAGGCGCCATGAAATCTGGGGAAATATCATGGCCCCCGCCATGATATCCACCCCCCCCTAGTCATCACCCCCCTCTTTTCCGCCCCCGATCGCTAGGCACCGAAGTTCCAGGATGCCTGAGCCCGGGGTTCATGGTCCCAGGCCTCGGTGGAGGCTTCGCACCGATTCTAGTGGCCGGTCGGGGTCCCGAGGTCCACAGGGGAGACAGTGCAGAGAGTGGAGAGAGAGAAAAAGACAGAGGATGAGTATTATAGAGCATGTAGGATGCGGAAAGAAGGAATATATATAGATAGAGAGAGAGGACAAAAAAAGGCAAAACAAGAGAGAGAGAGAGAGAGAGAGTCTAGCAAGAGAGAGAGGGAGACAGGAGTGGAAGAGCAGAGAGAGAGAGAGAGAGAGTATACATATATACACATATATCAGCGTGCATGTGTTCGGAAGACAGCATGGAGCAAAGATAATAATTCAGGTATTAGCGAACATATAATAGGAAGCATGGAGCGGAGAGGCGGCAAGAGGGAAGAGGATCGAGAATACAAAACGGAGTGGAGATGGCGGGGGAAGATCATGATCAAACCTAGAAGGGGTGCAGGGTAGATAACAGAAAACGAAACATGGATGGTCAGGATAGGGAACGCACATGACCAGAGTCGTCGACCTCCTCCCTCGCCCACCAGCACGCTGTACTCACTTTTCACGCACGAGCAACCGGTTGGGTCTTCTCTCGTGCCAGGAACCAAGAATACTTGACATAGCCATCGTGCTTGCTACGCCCACGCTAACTCCTTCCAAGCCGCACGTAGACATATCCGTATCCGTAGCCTCTCGGGCCAAGCTCCCAGGCCGCGACCCCGCGGATACGGTGCGTTTTTTTTTTTGTCGCGGATGCCCCGCGCGGAACGTATCCGTGCGACCTATGAACAAGATCGCGCCCCGAAATCCAGACCGCGAGGGCGCGGACATGGATACGTTCGCCGCTCATGCCCTTCCAAGCCGCACACGTGCTTGGTGCGAGCACGCGCCTCTGCTGGGCTGTGAGCCCCGGGGGGGGGCGGCTGGGCCTCTCAGAAGCAATCTGGCCTTCTGGGGAGCCGTCTCTGTCTGTGGATCAGGTTTTAGCGACTTCTCAGATGGCCGGAGGCCTGCCGAGCGGCCCGCCCCTTCTGCATTCCCTCCTGGGCTCGCCGCCGATGTTATTCCGATCTTATTCTTATCCTTCCTCTGGCGGGGGATGGCCCAGTGCTCCTCGGCTCGGCGTCGAGGGATCCCAGCGGGGGGGGGGGTCGAAGCCCGCGGGGCCCGTCGCTGTAGAACCCAGCGGCAACACCCATTGTCGCAGGTTTCGCAGGCGCGTGTTGCTTCGAACTATGGTCGGCGCAGATGCCATCTTGCTTCGGTCTGTTGTTGCTTCTGCACAGGCAAAGCAGCGCCTGCGGCGGGCTTCTGCCCGGGCTGCTAGTGGTACTTGTGGAAGCCAGAACAGATCCTCACTCTCGTCCGAGTCTGCGGGGGCATGAATCCACGCGCAAAGTGCTGCGTTCGTCGAAGAACATCTGTGGGTAAGCGTGCACGCTTTGTGTATGTGCCGCGCCGCGTCGCGTAACAATCCGATATGCTGTCTGTGCTCGCGTCTGTGTGGTTATATGTCTGCGGGGATGCCTTTGAGCATCGGTCGTTTCTGATTCTGTCTACATGTCCATCATTCAATTCGTCGGTCCATCCGCCTGCCCTATTGTCCGAAGGTGTGTGCCTTCGACCGTCTCAGCCTTTTCCAATCCGACTTGGTTTACTTCTGGCTGTCTGTGAGGTGTCCGGGGGCTTGTGTTACGTCGGGCGTGTCCCCCTACAGGGGGATTTGGGACGAAAAAATTAAAACCAGGAAAAACAACTCATACCCCAACGTAGCCAAAACATGCTCAAAACATCGTCCCCAGACTATCCTTTGACTACTTTTGAAGATTCCTCCTGTAGAGGGACAAGCCCGACGCAAGGCTTGTGTTGTGCGACCGCGCACGTGCCGCAAGGACGCGCATCACATTTGGCTGCAGCTTTGCGCTCCGCAGGCCTCGCAGTAAGGACAGCGCCAGCTCCCACTGCCTGCCCTTCTCGCACGCACTGACCCCTGCACTGTAGCAGACCACATCGGGCTCCAACGTCGACTCGCACAGCTCGCTCAACAACCAGACCGCCTGCTGCCACTTACCACATTTTTCGCACGCGCTGATTCCAGCACTGCAGCTGATCACATCCAGCTCCAGCTTCACAGCTGGCACCTCGCTCAGCAGCGAAATCGCCAACTGCCACTGCCCACCTTTCTCGCACGCGCTGACCCCAGCGTTGTAGCTCACGATGGTCGGTTCTAACTGTACGTCCGTCAACTCGCGGAGTAACACGACAGCCTGCTGCCACTTGCCACCCTTCCCACAAACATTGATGGCGGAATTGTACAGGATGGTGTCCGCCCGCACGCGTGACCCCAACGCTTCCTGGAGCAATGTCAGAGCCTCGGCCCATTGCCTCGTGATCCCATACTTCTTGACGGTGGCCGTGAGCTGAGTGGCGCTTGGTGGGAACGCCTGACATGGCGGCGTTCGCAGGACATATACGGTATACTCGTGTGCTGAATCCTGCCTGGTGGCGGCAATGACACTGTGCAGCATGCATTACTTGGACCTGTGGCCGCGCACAAACTCTGTCCATCTTGAGCCCAGAACGAGGACACCAGGTGCTGATCATGACAGTTGTTGCTGGTGATTTGTATTGTCGGTGTATGGTCAATGTCTGGAACGGGGAGCTGACAAACAAGCACGGGGAATGCCGGTCCAGGGATGAACGACGGGACGCGGGGCCGATGGGAGGACGGCCAATCACATGCTTGTGGGATGCCGGCGAACGAACTGCCAGCCCAAACTGGCGATCGCCATATTTCATACTAGCTTAATGGAACCTCCATAAGGATGGTATATCTCCCTGCCCTTTTTGGATCTCCGTAGCTTTGGTTCTGCCTTGATTGCTTTCGCTTGCATCGGAACTGCGGCAACATATTGCAGGATAGTAGCCGAAGGCTACTACACCTGCTGCTGCCATTACTACTAGTGCTATTGCTGCTACTACTTTCACGGCTGTCACCCTTCAATCTGCTACTGTCACTGCCTGTACTGCTACTGCTGCTACGGGTGCTGCTAGCCGGCTGCTCAAAATCAAAACGTTGGCACTGATACCTGCACGGCTTCCGCTACTGCCACAGAGACTAATGTCGGGAGTGCTACATGGAAATGTGTGATTCTAGCTACTCGTGATTTTAGTGTGTCTGCAATTCTGCTGGTGCCGCTGCCAAAGATACAACATTGACAGCTGCAACTACTGCGATTGCTACTGATACGGCTACATACCGTCTCATCCTGCAACTGCTCGAAGTACTACTTCTACCCACGCTGCCTGCATGTCGCAATGGCAGCGTTCAGTCAGTCTTCACAAGATGGGACCCCACTTCCCTCACTGCAGCTGGCAAACCCGAGCCAGCAGAAAACAGGCAATAGAAGAGGCCACCTCAACTACAGCTTCAAAGTGCTGGGGGCACCACGGGGTCTATCGTTACTAATAGTTTTCGGTACTTCGAGCCGTAGTTCGCGCAAGGATCTGATCCAACTTCCTCTGCTGGGTACTACTGATACTGGCCCTCAGCTGCTTGTACTGCAGATGCCAAAACCATTTCACAGCGTCTGTGCCACCAACACGACTACTTCTCTCTCTCCTACGGGAACCTGCGGACACCCACATCATCCACAAAAAGGATCCTGAACAAGCATACGGAGCCCGAACTGATGCTAAATAATCTTCAAATTCCGGAGTAATCCAAATTCTAAGGAACCCAAAGGAGTCACAACATATTTCTAAAGCTTCCAAAAAAGATTCTGGAAGCACTCGACGGAATCGTAATAATGTAAAACGATCGCCAGGGATCCTCGCGAATCCAGAATTATCCTGGAGAGTCCTGAGGAAACATGGATCAGAACGACCCTTCTGCAACGCCAGAAAGTGTAAGGAACCCTAAGAAACCGTAAGGGACCAAACGGATCCAGTAGAAATCCACAGGACTCCTGGGGGGGCCTGGAGGATGCTGTTTGGGATCCTAAGGACTCCCCAAGACGCCTTACGAAAAACCGGACGAATTCCGAAGAATCCGACGGAACTCCAAGATTGGTGAAGTACTGCGAGCGAGCCCTAGGAAATTCTGACAAATCCTCAGGCATCCCCGAAAAGGCTCCTAAGAGACCCTGGGGAGCTCAAAGGGAGCTGAGAACCCTAAGGGACCTGAAGAAACCCCAGGAGCCTTGAGGGACACAAGGACCCTACATAATCATGGGGAATCCTGAAGTCTGATAAATACCCCCACGGACTCCTCACCCTCAGGAGGTCGACGGAACCCCTGGACTTTTGATGAGAAGCGAACGAATAATTACTGAATGGACTCCAGGTATTTCCCCAAGAAGATTCGTCATAAGATGCGACGACGCGACGTTGATGCGTGAAACCAGATTGGCACCAACAGTTGAGCTCTACAGTACAAGTGGCACGAAGGTGAGTGGTGTGGTGCGAGTTTGAGATCATGGGCGGCCCTACCAATACAACTTCATAAATGACCGCATTTCCACTCCGCTGCACGTGGTCTTGGCCACGCATCAGAAGCCTCCTAAATGGGGTCCGAGTAACATGGGGGGCCGGAGGATCGTGCCGCATCGCCGATGCATCGCCGATGCATCGGCAATGTATCGGCGATGCATCGGCGACGTCGACGATGCATGGCCGACGTCGGAGTGGAGAAAATCGGGGTTCCACATCGAGCCGCATCGCCGATGCATCGGCGATGCTGAGCGATCCTCCGACCCCGCCTACTCGGACCCCATCTGGGAGGCCTAAAGATATCCTCCTCTTCCGCCCGCCTCCTCTGCGTGTCTGGCCCGGGCGAAGGAGGGCGCACCTCTGGAGCTCAGTTGTTGTCGGCGCCGCTGGAGGGGCCTCGGTAGTCGCCACGCGCGCCGCCAACAAATCGATGCTGCAAGGGGCAGGGGGGACGAGAGAGGAGCCAAAAGAGGAAACTCTGGGTGCCAAATTGCCATCGTCATCGACGATCGAGGATGCACATGTCTTTCACGCTTTCGGGACGTTTTGGATAGATTTCTTTTGTTTTGGGCCCCTGGGGGCCTCCAAAGGCCTCAGTGGGCCTCCAGAAACCTCTGGTCGCCTCTGGGGACGCCCGGGATAATTGTCCCGGGCGGGTGCCAAGCTGACCAAGTGTGGGGGCATCCGAACTCCTCCCTTTCCCTTCCCACGTAGCGGTCTCCTCTGCCTCGCCAGCATCCTCCTCATCATCCTCATCCTCATTCTATTCCTCGTCCTCCTCACTGCCACCACCATCTCAATCATCATCATCAGCATCATCAACATTCATAATCGTCTTTACCATCGTCATCATAATCATCATCATCATCAACATCATCAACATCAACATCACCAACATCACCACCACACTCTCCATCACCATCACCACCAGCATCACAATCCGCATGATCATCCTCATCATCATCTGCATCTTCATGCTCGTCATCATCACCATCACCATCACTACCACCAACATCATCTCCACCATCATGATCAACCACACCGTCCCGACCACTCCCACCACCATCATCATCAGCAGCATCATTATCATCAGGAGCATCACCATCGTCCTAGCCATCATTATCGTACCATCCCGACGACTATCAGCGTCATCATCATGAACATCATCATCAACATCACCAACTTCATCATCATCACCGTCATGGTAGTCAACATCATCATCATCGTCCTCATTATCCTCATCAACATCATCATCGTCGTCAACATCACCATCTTCTTCATCAAAAGCATCCGCATCATCATCAGCATCAGTATCAGTATCAGTATCAGTATCATCATCATCATCATCATCATCATCATCATCATCATTACCATCATCATCATCACCATCATCACCATCGTCATCATCGTCAACATCACCATCAACACCGCCAGTATCATCACCATCATCATCATAATCAGCATCACCGTCAACATCTATCTTCATCTTCATTGTCATCATCATCGTCATCGTCATCATCGTCACCACTCTGCTCACCAACATCATCGTCTGCATCAACATCACCATCAGCATCCTCATCCTCCTCCTCCTCATCATCATCACCATCGTCATTATCATCATCATCATCATCATCATCACCATCACCAGCATCATCACCAACAACAACAACATCATCATCATGATCAGTATCATCATCAGCAGCATCATCATCATCATCACCATCATCATCATCTTCTTCTTCTTCATCATCATCATCATCATCATCTTCTTCATCATCGTCATCATCATCATCATCATCATCATCATCATCATCATCATCATCATCATCATCATCATCATCATCATAATCATCCTCATCCGGCGCCCGTTTTGGCACACCCCTCACACGTTTCGTGGCCCCCCAATGAGCTCCAGCGAAAGCGGTCGGTACCCACACCGCGGTACTCACAAGTGCATCTGGTTGGGTCTTTCGCCTGGATAATTCAATGATGTTCGTCTTCTGAAGGCCTCTTGGAAGTTTCTCGAGAGCCTCTCGGGGACCGTTCGGGCCGTCTCGGGCCCATCATAAGCTGTCTGGGGCTGCCTGGACGGTGCCTGGGGCCGTCCTGGCGGTCTGGAGGGCAGTCTAGCAATCACATTCGGCTGTCTCGGAGCCATCTTGAAGGGTCATGTGGGCTCCAGTCGACTGTCTTGGGCTTTCATGGGGCTCCTCGACGGCCGCCGGTGGACCATCCTGAGGCCTCAGAAGGCCCTTTTGGTCTACTTCAGGCCCCCTCGGGCCGTCCTGAGACCCTTTTGGGGGCATCTTGGAGGCCTTTGGCCGTCTTGGGGTCTTGTTGGGACCCTCTCGGAGGGCTCTCGAGGCCCTCGTGGAGCTCTCTTGACGCCATTTGGGACCTTTAAGGTCCTCTTGGGGTCGTCTTTGGGCCGTCTTGGGCCGCTCTTGGGCCGTTTTGAAACTCTCTGGGCCGTCCTGGGGCCTTCTTTGGTAACTGCTTGGGCCGTCTTGGGCCGATTTCTGGGGCCTCGTGCGCTGTCTTGGCCCGTTGGAAGCATGAAAAAGCCAGAACACGGAACACCTGGAAAACCCGAAGAATCAATTAAGTGCTTCGCCTCCTGAGGGCCTCGTGGGACTTCTTTTGCAGACCCCTTGGCCGCCTTGAAGCCACTTTGGGCTGTCTTGAAGCCATGCTCGACCATATTGGAACGCTATCGGGCGGTCTTGGGCTCTGTTTGAGCGCCTTTAGGCCGTCTTGGGGCCCTTTTGGACGCCTCTTGGGGCCCTCTCGCCGTCCCTCTTCCCCTCCGTCTCACGCGTTCGGGAACATTCCGACGGGTCCAACACGTCCAGGTACAACATCAGTGCTCCCCAGGGCCCCTGGACCCCCCTCCGACTTATAGATGTGTACACACATATATATACACACATATCTCCATATCCATGTGCACATACGTATATACATCTGCGTATGTATACCTTATGGATATACATCCCATTGTGAGTACAAACGATACATATATACATATATATTTATAGATGAATATGTCCACATGTGTGTAGAGTCAGAACAAACACGTATGCGAAAACACATCGCCTTCGACATATAGAGAAACGCATAGAGATCCATATATAACTACACACGATAGAAAGAGGGAGGTAAAGAGAGAGAGAGAGAGCGAGTGAGGGAGAGGGAACCAACAATATGTATATATATATATAGATATACATATATATATATAGGTATATATATATATATATATATACATTTATAACTGTATATACACATACATACACACGTATATATATATGCAGATCTAACGACATGGAGAGACGACATATCAACATATATATATATACACAAAGAGAAATAAAGAGAGAGAGAGAGAGAGAGAAAGAGAGAGAGAGAGAGAGAGACAGAGAGAGAGAGAGAGAGAGAGAGAGAGACAGAGAGAGAGAGAGAGAACAACAAACACAAAAACGAAAGAGAACGAGATACAATGAGCACAACAAGAAAAAGAGAGCGAGAGCGGCACAACGAGGGGAGATCCGGAGCGAGCCGGGGGCGGCCGAGCGGGGAGCGCCTGCGCCCCCCGCCGCCCGCTCTGTCCCAGCCGGCGGCTCGGCGGCGGGCTCGTGGCCGCCGCCCGCGCCTCTGCCCCCCCCCCGGGGGCCGGCGACGGGCGGACGGCGACGATGCGGCGACGACGACGACGAAAACGATGGCGGAGAACGGCGACGAGGGCGAGGGCGAGGACACCGACCGCGATCGAAGACTGCGATCGACAGGGGCAGCGGCGGCGGCGGGGACGAGGAGGAGGTGGAAGGTGCTCTTGACGCTGCATTCCTGGTCCGACAAGCGCCTTGCTTCACATGGGCCAAATCCGCGCCCGGCGCGCCCGCCCTGGCTCCCCGCGGCCTGTCACGCTAGCAGAAAAACACTACGGTAGTATTTTGGGGATTCACCTGCATACAATCAGAAGTTTGCTCAACAAAAACAACTGCCCGCCTGGCGGACTGCAACCGAACAGTCGACGGCCAACGGGCTGCGACCATGACCATTCCAGCGCGCATCTCCTGGAAGGGTAGCGGCGGGCGCATCGGCCGAACCCCTTTGCGTCGACACTCGCTCGCCGACGGCAAGCCCGCCGCCAGTCCAGCAGACCCAGACACCCGTAAGTGACGAATTGTCCATGACGCTCGTTATGTTTCTCTGTGTCCTGCGATGTCTTTACTTGTGTGTTTCATGTGTTTCTTGTTTTTTACTGTTTTGACTTCTTCTCACCGACAGCGCATGGCAAACGCCTGGCACTTTGTGATAGACCTTGCCCATCGTTAATGACCCTTGGCGGCCTCAAGCATTAAGCAACGACGGGGTCTTTCAAGGATTACGGATGCTGTCAACGGTTGAACACTGACAGATGGGATCTCCAAGTTAACATTGTTGGGCGTAAGCTTCCTACGATGGACAATGCAGAGCTCCCCGCGCGCGCGAAGTTCTGCAGTGTGCACAGTCGAATAATCGCTCTGTTCGCATGGACACCCGATTTAACCATTCGCGGTGGCCGACAAGATTTCGGGTGACCCGCGCGGTGGGCGGGTCGCCCGCCGCGCGTGCGCGAGCGCGCGGCGACTTCTATTCACAACGCGAAAGTCGCCACGTTGGTCTGGAAACTTAAGTGCACCTTCAGTGGTGACCGATTGGGTTTTGAAATGGACATATGTTCTGGTGTACAGCATCACGCATGGTCCATACAAAAAACCCCTACGCGCGTGCGCGTGCAGAATTTTGCATTGTCCACGTTGGGATAATTACCATGCTGGCTTGGAACCCCAAATGAACCCGTAACGGTGACCGACAGGATTTCGGGTGACCCGCACGGTGCGCCGCGCGTGCGCGCGCGCGTGGCGAGTTCTGCATAAAATCCGAAGTCCGAAAGTCGCCATGCTGGCCTGGAGAATAAAGTGAACCCTTCGCAGTGACCGACAAGATTTCGGGTGACCCGCGCGGTGGGTGGGCCACCCGCCGCGCGTTTGCGCGCGCGTGGCGAATATTGCAATGCCCACAATCGGAAAGTCGCCATGTTGGCCTGGAAACGAAGGTGAACCCTTAGCGGTGGCGGACTTGATGTTGAAGTTAACATGGGCACTGGTGTCAGAACCCCAACGCGCGAGCGCGAGGATGTCCTTGCTGTCTTCGGATGACACGTGCATTCTAAGCGGTGGCTGGCAGGATTACGGGTCACCCGCGCGGTGGGTGGGCCACTCGCCGCGCGCGCGTGGCGTGTTCTGTAATGTCCGCAACAGGAAAGTCGCCAGGTTGGACTGGAAACTAAACCGAGCCGTCTTAACAATGACCGATTGGATTTTGGGAAATAACATGCATGTTCTACACATTCCTGGATACAGAAAGGAAAAAGGACATCCTGTTTGCGAGATACAGTCGGGGCGTTGACCAAAGGAACCCTAAATAAGGAACGAGGCCCTTATTTTCCATAAGTTAAACCTCGATTTCCTATGGACAACCTCCGGGAAACCCGAGGCAAGCTGCAAAACAACTAAGGAACACCGAGCCCCTCCCCAACGAAAAGGGTTCCTTCCTCAGGGCCCCGACTGTAGCATGCATACTCTACACATTCCCGAGTACTGAAAGGAATAATTGCATCCTTTTTTGTTTGCGAGATACCTGAAGCGACGCGTGCGGGGGGACGCGCGCTCCCCGCGCGGCGCGCGGAGATTTCGCCCTTGTCCAACAACAACTACTGGCAGCGCACGTGATCCTTGGAACCACCAAAATACGGTCCCCCTCTCTTTCTCCTCCTCCTCCTCCTCTTCCTCCTCCTCCTCCCCCTCCTCTTCCTCCTCCTCCTCTTCCCCCTCCTCCACCTACTCCTTTGAGAAGGGGGAAGAGGAGGGGGAAGAGGAGGAGGAGGAGGAGGAGGAGGAGGAGGAGGAGGAGAAGCAAGATGAGAACGACGACGACGAAGACGACGACGACAACGACGCCGACGAGGAGAAACAAGGGGAAAGTGGGGGACGAGGCGGGGGAGGAAGGCGGCGGAATGATCCCAGGCAAACCCGCGTCGTGGCCCCAGGATGCGCGCCCAGAGATCACATTTTCAGTACTGTAGTGGATGTGGTGTTTTGAATATACATTCGGCGTCGTTTACAAGTGGCCGTGCTTCTGACTTGCTAGACCTAACCTCCTTTTTGGTTGCTGCACTTGACCTCATTTTTGAATTACTGCACTTGTTTTTTTTTCTGGCTGCTGCAAGTGACTTACTTCGTTTTTGAGCTACTTCACGTGCCCTCGCTTCTGGACTACAATTGACTTTGTGTTTGAATTACTACGCTTGGCCTCGCTTTTGGGATACTACAATTGGCCTCGTTTTCGAATTACTACAGTTGGGCCTTTTTTTGGAAGGTCCGTTGAACTTGATGTACTACAGTAGCGAACTGGCTCGTGGTTTAGATTCGTCTACTACACTTGGCATCGTCTTGGGTTTCTGCACTGGCCCCAGATTTCGGTTCCTGCAATACTGCTCGATTCTGGGCTGCTGCAGTTGTGCTTTCGCCTGGCCGATACCAAAACTGTTACTGCACTCCCGCGCCTGTGCAGCCCATGCCCGCCCGTGTTTCTGAACTCACCCCCGTGGCGCGCCTGGGGAATCCGATGCCGGGGGGCCCCTGTCGCGGGCTTCCCGGGCGCGGGCCCCCCCCAGACAGGCGGGCCGCGGTGGGGGCGCCAGCCAACAACCGTCCGCCAGGCGGGCCCCCGAGCGGGCCACCTCCCGGTAGCGACGGGGCGACCACGCCGCGCGCGACGGGGCCAATCCCCACGCCGCGGGCAGCCCCTACCCGCCCCAAGCGGGCCCCGATCCCCCAAGGGCCTGGGTTCCAGGGCTGCCGGGGCCCAAGGCCCCGTAGTCTTGAGGAGGAGGGGGAGGAGGAGGAGGAGGAGGAGGAGGAGGAGGAGGAGGAGAGGAGGAGGAGGAGGAGAAAGAGGAGGAGGAGGAGGAGGAGGAGGAGAGGAGGAGGAGGAGGAGATATGAGGAGGAGGAGGAAGAGGAGTGGGTGGAGTGGTATGAGTAGGAGTAGTAGCAGTAGTAGCAGGAGCAGGAGCAGGGGTGGGAGTAGGAGCTGGAGTAGGAATAGGAATAGGAAGAAAAGAAAGAGGAGGAGAAGGAGGAGGAGGAGGAGGGGGGAGGAGGAATGAATGAATGAGAAAGCTCGTGGAGACCAGGTCTAGCCTGGGCACGCCTTGCATTCACGCAGCATGCGGGAATTTACCTCCGCTCTTGGGGGGCAACCCCTCTCAAGACGGGAAAGCACCTCAGCCCCAGCCTTCGTGGGGGGGCGATCCGTCTTACAAGGTCGGGCAAGACTCTGAACATTCACAGATGCATGAGCACCACAATGAGCACAATACAAAACACATCGCAAAACTCTCAATCGGTGGTTCGTGGCACAACCTGGATAGAGAGGGTGGGTGAGCGGGTCAGAAGAGAGATGGGCAGGGCCAGGACAGGTACCTGGACGAAAATCCTGGACACGACCCTTCAGTCTGAACCTACGCGCACACATCTGACACTTCAAAAACAATCCGCACATTCTCGGCTCATCATGGCCAGCACTCCGCAACCTCTGTTTCCTGACAAGGAAGGAGGGGATAGGAGGTGGGCGTGGCGGCGGGCGGCCGAGCCTGTCCGAAGTCCTCCTTGGGTTGGCCTGGACAACTTCCTTGTGGATCGCCAACTCACGATCGAGCGTTTGAGAAGTTATCCTATCAACAAACTGAGTTAGATCAGCTTGCTCTGGGGTGGGGGCCGAACGCTCCGCAGCCCATGCAGCAACATAATCAGCACACCAATTCAGGAAAAACTCCTCCTCTCCTATGGCGAATTGGGCCCGCGGTTGGGCCGTCGAGTGTCTCTTGATCCACAGGGCCTCGACCCGACCAGGGCCCCGATCATCGAGAGCCGACCAGATCCGAACCCACGGATCGAGCATGGTACTGCTGGCAACTACCTGAGCTCGTGGCTGCCTGAGCCCTTTCACCAAGGGCAGATGATCATAATAACATAATATATCATCAACAGTATGCGTGATCACCATGAGGAACGCATAGAGTTCAGCACGAGGACTCGACTGTTCAGCAGTAGGAGGACTACCACACATTACTGCATTGAGCTGGAGGGGGAGCCCGTCGGGGAAGCCCAAACTCACGATCGACCACCCACATCGACGAAGCCGTTTATCAGTAGCATACTTTCCACCAGAGCCATCACGGCCCCACATTCCTCCTGGAACACGTAGCTGAGCCCTCAAGGTACCCCATTTCCAAACACTCGTAGGTGGAGGAGGTAGGTGACCACATGCGGCATCCACTGATGGGGCCCCGCGAGTGAAGAAGGCACTAGCTGGATCTGCATTTTGAGCACCCTCGACAAGGTACTCGCTGCCAGAGGTGCTGGGGCATAACAGCAACGCATTGGAAGGACAGCCCCAGCATCGGTGAAGAGGCGTTTCACGCTTGTCACCACAACGGAAACATTTGCCCGAGGTTAGATATCCACTATCCTCAAGACGGCTCTCTGGCCAACATGCACCAACCACAATCGTCGCAAGAAGAGCAGCGCTCTTGTAGTCGCCG